AAGTGCAGATCGCGTTTCCGCGATACTCCGCCCCACTACTGCTGGAGGTGCCGCAGGGTCTCGAGTCGGCTCAGGATTTCCGCCTCGCTTGCCTCACACTGGGACTTCTCAGTTTCGATCTTCAGAGTTTCTTCTGGGAGGTCGCATACAGCTGAGTGGTGTCCCCTCAATTTACAGTGGAAACAGGGAATCCTGTACTTGATGCATTGAAATCCTCCTTGGCAATGGAGTTCCAGGCAGTTAGAGCAGCGTCGATGCCGTCGTAGGAATCCCCTTCGTTCAGCTCCTGTTTTCATCCTGGGGCACGAGTCGGAATAGTGTTCGCCGATTGCGGCGCAAAAAACACACTTCATTGTTAATTCTCCTTCTCGTGATACTCCGCCCTCATACTCTCTTGGTTTGCAAGTTCTTCTTTTTTCCAGCTCTCTCATCCGTCGCTGTATTCTGTGTAGTTTTTCTTCAAGAGCGGTTATCTCCAGAGCTGCCCTCTCGGTCGATCTTCTTGAGTTCTGGCCACTGGTGGAGGAACCGCTTGGCCGGTCCTGCGGGCGCCCTTGTGATGTTGTCGGTGGTGTTGCCGGTGGTACGGTCGGTGGTACGGTCGGTGGGATGGGGAACGGGAATGGTGGTTGGAAGTATGGAAATGACGGGAACATCATCGGTTGCGGTGGCATTGGTGGCATTTGAGGAACTGTCGGAGGTGGAGGCGCTTCTGTCGGCGTCGTTCTTGCTTGGGGGGCCAGGTGTTGACTCGTCTGCACTGCTTTGCACATCTTCTGTCGTTCCACTGGCGTTGTTTGCGTCCATGCCGCACAATTTTTTATGGTGGGTGTTTGCTTCGCAATGCCTTCTTTTATCTCGACCATCGTTTGTTGAATCGACTGCATGGCATTATACATGCGTACGTCCATGGTATCTCGTTCCATCCGCTCCTGGGTAAGACATGCTGCTCGGGTTTGTTCGATCGTCGTGAAGAATTCGTCCATACATCGAATCTGGTCGTTGATGATGATCTCCAGCTGGTTTGCGTCTGTCAGCAGTGGCTTTCTTCGACCGTCTCTTGATATAAAATGCTGTGGGCGTTCCATTCTTGCTTTCCATGCGTTCTCGTTCATGGCCTTTGTGGCGATCAGGACAGGCACAGTCGAAAAGAGTAATCGCAAACGTTGACGTAGGAACTCTAATCGCAGTTTACAATTATCGGTTCTAAGTTCAAAAAGCTGAGTATCTCTTTCTAGTTCGCCATAAGGTGCATTGCTCACGTGGAAAAAACTTGAATCTTCTTTCAGTTGATCGAAAATCTCAATTGTAATCATGACCATTGTGGAGGCTTCAATGATGTCATCGTAGAGTTTCGCAGGTGATGGTAGTGGTGGTAACGCACTTTTGAGTTTTCGCAATTCTCTACGGAGCCTGCTTTCGTTTTCCATATCTGAAAAGAAAAAAAAATTGATTAAAATATTTTTTCCCGCGCCTTGACGTTCTTAATCGCTTTTCTACAAGTGGCGCATACGAGATACCGTAGTATCTTTGCTGGGATGCAAAGGATTCTTATGATAGCTCGAATGAGCGTTGATATTGCAAATGATAGTATTGTTGGTAAAAATAAGTACGTAAGAGCCAGTACTATTATCAGTGCCACAATTAGCAAAAGTATGCTTTTTTTCCATGTAAGGAAGATGTCGCAAATATGGAAAAAATCTGGCCATTCAAAGGAATACAATTCGCTTTCGCTGGCTATTGCAAAACTCTTATGCGGTTGAAATGTTTTTACGAATTTGAGAATCCCTGATAACACAAAATGTGAAGTTTCTCCGCAATTGACCGTGCAATTGATATAGTTACGTGCTGTGTTTCGCAACAATCTCAGTGTAGCGTTTTCTCCCTTTGGCGAACACGGGATTGTCATGGTTTCTTGTTCGCATCGCACTTCTGCTAACGTTCGCCGAGTTGATTTGCATACGATAGTTGCTTCTGCTCCTTTTTCACAACGATAACAACCAGAAAGTATCGCATTTTCGATTGTGCAAGTATCAGATTGAATTTCTTGGATGGTTTTGTTGACTATTCCTCGGAATTCAATGATGAATTCTGAAGATGCCGTATCTCTGATACGTGCAATTACCTGTGTCTGTTTTCCTTGGTAAAAGAGCGCGTTTTGCGTGTTCAGCGGCAGCTTCCGTGTTAAATCTCCAAAATAGCTGGCTAGTGAAGGTGATTTGCATTCGCATCTCACTTTGTTTTCGGCCGCTCCACAATCGCATTTATCGCGTAGGTCGCATTTTAAGTTTTGTGCGTCTTCTAGGGTCTTGCAGTACAAAGAAAGTTCGTCATTTTCTTGGAAAATCGCAATTTGATCGCCATCCGAAAGAAATTTCTTGTTGAGAATTGGTAAGGGAGGAAGTGCCAGGGAAGTCAGTGTTATGGTAAAATTTTGTATCGTGGTTGGTACATTTGGCGAAACTGGAATGACATAGACTGAGCTATCCTTGAGGTCTTCTACGGTGATTTCGAGTTTGACCTCCTCTTTCCATCTTGCGCATTTTGATAGTTCAAAAACATTTTTTCCCGTCGGCTTCGCGTACACCCTGTAAAAAAGGCAACCCGAGCTGGGATAAAAGCAATCGCATCCTATCCCCCCACAGGACTCCAGACATCCTGTTCTCCCCGGGTATCTATTCGCCTTCTCCAACTCTGGCAGTAAGTCCGATGAATTGACCGAAGCGCATTTTTGGCCGCTACAGGATCCCATGTGCGGGCATCGTTTACTGTCTAGAGTATGAATTTCAACATCGCGGGTGTAAGTGATGACTTGATGATCGCAATGGAGAAACAGCCCCTTCCATCGGATTTTCAAATGAAACAACAGGGCGTTTTTTGCATAGATTCGCAGACATGCCTCTTGTCTATAGTTGTTAATCTTGAGAACGTTCGCTAATTTGACTTCGCAAATCTCGCCTTCAGGCTTAGATGTACACGTGTTGGTTTTGATCGAAAAAACGTTTACATCTTGGCAGGAAAATGTCGGAAGTACCTGATTTGAGATCGTGACTATCGCAATCGCGGCGGCTATACGGCGCAGTCGTCTGTCGTTTGTCGGCAATCGCACCGTGTTTCGGAGGCAACGTCGGATTATCCTGAAAAAGTAGACAATGAATATAAAAATTCCATGAAGTATTAGGCGGATTGGTTTTCCAACCGTAATTGGCACATAAAGTAGTATGTAGATTAACGCTACTATGATGTAAAGTATTAGCGTTGCCCCTACTAGAGAACCGATAGGCCAGCACTCCGGGTTAAGTATGACTGCTGTGCATAGATTGCATTGTATATTTTCGCAAAAGTCCAATCCTTGGCATTTCATTTCCATAGATTGAAGAGTTGTGTTGTGATGCCATTTCAAAAGAACGTTGTGTTCGTGCAATGTCAGCTCTGGTGAGAATCTGACCAGCTCGTACGGAGATGGTTTTTTGTACAACTTGCATTCGCCTTCAGCGCAAATTTCGAATTCTTGTGTCGTATCTGCATTTTTGACCGCTACACCGTTCTTCTGACATTCCATTCGAATGGTTTCTGATACAGGTTTGCATGTGGTTGGAGACCAGAGGACTGCCAGTATCATAAGCATCATTACTGCCGATGATTTTGTTGCGCTGCAAAAGCTTGCGGGCCATACATTTGTTGTTTTTATCAAATTTTCTCTGTATGAGATGTTTTTCCGTGGTCGAAGATTGTAATGATTCTGGTTGGTATTGTTCTCCGTATCTTGAGGGGGTGCAGTTTCTTCGTCTTGAATCTCGAGTGGGACGACCAAGTTGACTGGTCTTTTGATTGTCCTTTTGGTTGACGTTATCAGTTCAAGTTCTCGAACTGCCCCATCTGAAGAGGCATTGACTTTTGTGATTTTTGCCATTCTCCAATCATTTCTTGGCATGATTGGATCCATTAGGAGTACAATCGCGCCCTCTTTTGGGTTCAGAGAGGAACCTCTCTGTCCTGACATTCGTGTGCGGTGTTGCTCTCGAAGGCTGGTAAGGTACTGCTCTCTCCATACTTTCCAGAATTTACATGTGAAATTCATGGATGTTTGCAATGACTCGATCACTTGGTTTCGCGTTTCAAGTGCCGCTAGTTCCGCCGAAGAGTGATAATCCGGATCGTCTGTATTTCTTTTCACTTTTTCGGTAGGAAATGTTAGCTCTAGCCGACTTTGTATAAAGTCGATAGGCCTCACTGTTGAGTAGTAATCGCAGTCGGTTTCCTGGTATGTAAGCGGTCTAGAATTCAAAGTGGCTTCAATTTCTGTAACCACTGTCACCAAACTATCATACGATATTTTGGCTCTTCCGAGCGATTTATAGAGCGCTTCTTTCACTGATTTTATCAGCCTCTCATAGAAGCCCCCTTGCCAAGGGGCATATGGAGTAATTGTTCTCCACTCGATCTCTCGGTTGATCGCAAAGTCTTCCAACAGATTTTGGTGGTTTGCGTCTTTCATTATTTCTGCTGTGAGTTGGAATGTTGGGGCATTGTCGCTCGTGATTGATTTCGGTACGCCTCGTCTCGCGAAAAAGCGTCTGAGGGCATTTAGGAACGCCTCTGCGCTCATACTTTTTAGAGTTTCCAGGTGTATGAGTCTTGTTGCCGTGCATGTAAAGATGCAACCATAAGTTTTTATGGTTTCGTGATTGTCCATTACTTGTGGAAGGTCAAAAAAGTCTATTCCGATGTGTTCGAAGGGCCGAGTTTGTTGTACCCTTCTTGATGGTAAATCTGACATTTCCGGGTATTTGTAAGGGAGCCCGTTGAACCGTTTGCACCGGACGCATCCGCTTATGAAAGATCGCACCTGTTGGCGTAGTTTTGGAATCCAGAATTCTCTTCTGACAGTGCAAATAGTATGCGCAATCCCCCGGTGATATTCTCCATGGGCTTCGGATATTATTCTGAGAGCCAGTGTGCTTTTTGGTGCAACAAATATGGGGAATTTCGCATCGTCGCTCATTGCTGAGAATCCCAGACGTCCTCTTGCTCTCCAGACACCCGCTCTGTCCTTGAATAATTTCAACGTTTTTTCCATCGTTTTTATGTATTCTGGATTGAGCATAAGTGACTGGTGTTCCTTTATCAGTATAATTCTTGCTTGTCGCATTTCCAGGGCTGTCAGATTTGTGGATGATGTCATCTCGCCTAATTCAGGAACACTTTTCCGTATGCGAGAAGTAGTTGCTTGCGGCATGTTAGCCAGCAATCTTCGCAAGAATCGCAAAATCCATGCTACTATGCGTTGGGCTTTTCTCAACGATGAATAACGGCTGAGAAGAAATTTTTGATTCTCTTCAGGCCTTGCCATTGTCAGACCTACTAGCGCTTGTCCTTCTTCTGATGTCGCATTTTCGTCTGACTTTAGCCATTGAAACGTCTGCTTGTTCCACGTTGCTTGAGGTAGACGCAAAAACTCTGGGCCCGTCCACCATTCATGTGTTTTTAGTTGTTCTTTAGATAGACCACGAGTTCCGGCATCTGCCGGGTTAAACGTTGTCGCTACGTAACCGAAGTGCACTGAAGTACCCTTGCGACTAAGTTCTTCCACAATTTTTCGCATTTCTTTCAATCGGTTATGTACGAAGACTCCGGCATCGTCCTTTTTTGGAAAGTTTCTGGTCCAACTTAGGACAATTTGGGAGTCTGAGAACAAAAACACATTTGTAATACCATTGCATGCGCTTCGCAACACTTCGCAAATTGAATGTGCTAATCTTGTCGCCATAGTTAGAGCGTTCATCTCTAGTTTGGGTATCGTAGTTTTTGACTTTATTGACGGTAACTTTGATTTCCCCATCAATAGCTCTGACTTGTTTTCGTGGAACACGTACGCGCATGCCGCCATTGCCTGTTCGCTTGCATCTGCGAATACTGCTAAGTTTTCGCAATTTTTGACTGGAAGGTGACGATTGAATGTTTTGTGGAATGATTGCGCGTCGTCCTTTATTTCGTTCCATTCCTCTTGAAGGGATTTGGAGAGCTCTTGATCCCAGGAATACCCTTCTACCCAGACTTTTTGCTGAAATTTCTTATGTGGGACAAGCAGCGGTATTAGCCATCCGAGCGGGTCGTATATGGACGCTATCTGTTTTGCAATGTTTCTCTTCGTGATCTTTGGTATCGCTGGAAACTCGCAGTCAATGGTTAACTGGTCTTTTGTCGAGTTCCAGGAAATTCCTAGAACTTTTTGTGTAGTTTCCGTTGTTTTTGCTTCGATGGGAAGCTTGTCTTGTATTCTGGAGTCATTCGCCAAGAATTCGCGAAGATTCATGTTCATCTGTTGGAATAATTCTCGACTTGCTATGGCTTTGTTGACAACTTCGTCTGGAGTGTCGCCCATTATAATAAGGTTATCAACATACAAGTTGTCGCTTATCTCATTTGCCAATTTTTTGTCCTTCATCTCGTAATTTATGTGATGTTGTATCGTTGCTGCTAACAAAAATGGTGATACGTTCAATCCGAATGTTACCCTGGTGAATCGATAGACTGCTATGTTATCGTTGTCAAGTTGAAGTTGAGGATTTTTCACCCAAAGACAACGAGTCACATCTCTGTCTTTTTCGTTGAGTCTGATTTGAAGGAATGCCTTCTCTACGTCAGCTATTGCCACGTTTGCCTTCATGCGAAAACGCAAGAGTATCCCGTAAAGTTCGGGTAGGATGAGAGGACCTTGGTAAAGTGCATCGTTTAACGATGGGCATCCTTTGAAATGTGAAGAAGCATCGAAAACGATGCGTAATTTGGTGGTGTGTTTATGTGGGGTTACGACTGGTTGATGTGGAAGGTAATGAACGAGTTTCTTTTCACTCACTTCTGAAGCCGTATCCACCACTTCCTCTAGTATTCCCGTCTTTAACTGTTCTTGAAAAACGCCGTGATATTGTTGCAGCAATTCGCTGTTCGTATGCAACATTTTCAGGACGCTAGCCAAGCGGCGGTATGCTATTGCTTTGTTGGTTGGCAATTGGTCACAGGTTTCTTTGAACGGTAACCTTACATAGTACCCATCGTTTCTTTTTTCGATAGTATCGTGGAAGTACTGTAGAACTTTTTCGTTTACTTTCGCCTTTTCCGAGTACTTTGAACCAGTATATTCTTCTACTCCGGCTGAGTCCAAGGACCAGTAACGGTCCCAAAGGTCAAGTTCGTTCATTTCTGAGGTACTCAGCGTAGTCGTGATTGCCCGACATGGGGCTTCGTCCATATTGCGCATAATTCCTCCGCATTGCTGTCGTCCCGTCAGCAGGTACCCTAACTTTGACGGGATTGCTATCAGTCCAGAAGGAAGTATCTGCTGTCGACAGGATGTATTCAGCAATGGCCACAACTGATCACAACCCAGTAGAACGTCCGGGTTTATTTCTGTTTTTTCCGTCTTGCATAAAGCTATGTTGTGTTTACGGAGGAATTCGGTGTCTGGTTTTGTAAGACGAGCAGATTTGATTTTTTCAGTAATCGTTTCTGTCTTGCAGAGTACCAGATCGTGAACGTTCCCTTTCTCGTCCCAGATTTGGAGCGGTGAGATTTCATACCGCTGTTTCTTTGGGATATCGCTTCCAAATGTGAAGACCGATAATTCGACGCTCCCCGTTGTAGGTAATTGGAGATCGTCTGCCAGCTTCCGCTTGATGAAGGATTTGTCTGCTCCAGTATCGAGAAGTATATCTATTGCTTTCATCTCTCCTGATTTTGTTCGCACCTTCGCCACTCCTGTCAGAAGAAAAACGTTGTCTTGACCATTGTGTTGGCTCTTTATCGTGGTATGGAGACTGGATGTTTGAGTGACAGTGTTATTCCCTTCTGGATTCGTAGATATTGCACAACTTTGATTCGATCTTTCTGTGAGATCTGTTCTGTTTATTTTTGGGTGGTGTTGATTTGAAGCTGTTGGATTGTTGCGTCGCTGTACCAGGTCATCCGTTTGCCTGTACATTCTTTTTGGACATAAGGAAAAGTGGTGCTTTTTTCCGGCGCACATACTGCATCCTCTGTTATTACATTCTTTCAAAAAATGGTTTGCTCTTGTACAGTTCAAGCACTTTTTGTTTTTCATCAGGAAGTCTGTTCGCTTTTGAATGCTATCGAATTTTGTGCAATGCAGTGAATTATGATTCACTGCCCCGCAGTAGATACACTGAGCTTGTGTTTGGGCATTTTCCACCCTTCTTTGAAATTGTGGTTTACTTTGCCTTTGTAAAGGCTCATTGTTTTTCAGCATTTCTGCGACTTTTTCCTCGGAGGATATGATCTTGTCCAAATCGCTGAGAAGCTGGATCAACTTCCACTCATCGTGGTGTGCTTCGATTTGCACTTTCAATACCTTCCTTTGAAGGCCTTGACTGAATTTTGACAAGACTTTCTGGACAATAAAGGAGCCATCCAGAGATACCCCTTTTTTCTCTAGTTGCGTTGTTATCGCAAACAAATATTCCAACAGCTTCCTTTGATCTGGTATAAGAGGACTTCTTGCATTTGCTTTGTCCAACCTCATTTGGAGATCGTAGATTATTTTTGATTTGTCTCCAAACTTTGTTTGAAGTACTTCAATGGCTAATTCATAGTTTTCTTCTGTCACCGGATATCTTCTTATTACCTCTCTTGCTTCCCCACGTAAGGTTTGCAGAAGGTAATTGAATTTTTGCAAATTTGACAGTTTTTGGTTGTGCACATTTGCACTGAAAAGTGTCCAAAAATTCTCAAATTCGCTAATGTTTCCATTAAACGTTGGAATAGGTATAGGTGGCAATTCAGTTTTCGCACCTATGACCTCTGTTGGTAGTGGTTCTTGCCACGTTGGTTGTTGCAGACCAACTTTTTTGGTGTCTATCTGGATGATCAAGGATTGCGCTGTTTCCAAGGTTACTTGGGCTTTATCGATGTATCCTTGAATCTGAGTTTCTTGTTCTTCTGTGATTGTCTCTCCCAAATCGTCTACAGTTTTTATGTAAGAGTTCAAAGCCTCTTCAAGTATTCTGGAGGTCGCAGTTAGTTCGTAAGCGGCTTCCGAAAGAACTTTGAGAGATGTTTCGCATGTTATTTCTGAAAATTTCGCAATTGTTTGATTCAAAGTGTTGGAATATCGCGTTAGAAGGCTTTTCTGCGTTCGAAGTTGCACAGGGCCTACCATTATCTCGTGAAGAAATTGCAAACAATCGCAAAGAAAAAATCAATCACTAAAAA